CCCCCCCCCCCTGGCAAAATCATTTTACCCCCCCCCCCCCCCTAGAATTTTTGACCTTGCACACGTGTGCCCCAACTGGCTTTCAATTTTGCTTTTCGCTCATTTGCATTTGACGAAGTATCATTGAAGCCCAAGTAATTGAAGAAAAGTTGTTCACCCTTTCTGATTGGTCGTCCGCTCACACTGATTATGTTTCTTGAGAAGATGTAACTGACGATATTTGGAGCGCATGAATGGTTCAAGAGAGAAGAAACATTGGCCACGAAGCTTGAATAATCAGACCCAAATTTGTTAGTGTTATAAACTAGAACATGATGCATAGACACATGCATGAGGAAGCGCTTCTTTCGATCATTATCGAACCGACTGCTGACTTTCGGCAAATTTATCGCGGTTTTATAAACCTTGTAAGCTTCCATCAGTTCATGAGAAAAGGGTGCTGATGTTGAAAGTTTGAAGAAGAAATGATACTTTGACTTGAGATCGTTCAACGACGTTGGTAGTGTTTCGGGATTTTCGAGCAGTGTACCTTCAACGAACTGCATCAGAGCGTCCACGTCCGGGAAACTGGTGATGGCCATGAGAAGTGTTTTGATTTGATGTCTCATTTCAAAATACATCCGTGGTAAAAATGAGCCACACTCCAATTTGTGTGTTTCATTGCGATTCAAGCAATCCAAAGTGCAAAATTTAACATCGGGGCAATTTGGACACGCGATAAAATTCACCAGTACTTGCAAACAATTATAGCACGACAGAATATCATCTCTGATTGCGGGTATGTCATTTTCCACCAAAACCGTTTGTCCAACTGGAATGTCACACTTCGCAACCAGGTGCCGACCGAATTCTTCGTTGTATTTTATCTCCATGACGTTTGCCATGCACGGGAAATTCTTTTCAGCCTCGTAACTTAGCTTCGGTTCGAATTCAGCCTTTCGCTCAAACGTTGACATCAGTTTCATACTTTCATTCTTGCGCTGTTCCAGATTCAATACGAAGCGATCCGGTAGATTCGCCTTTTTGGCGAGTTCAATATCGATCAAGACTTCATTGTACAACTTCAAGTGGAAATTGCAGGCTGATCGGTTCGAATATGCTAACGCAACGTTTTCAGTGCCAACCTCAGCGAAACACAAACTTTGATTGTAGCATTTCATTGCTTCGACCCAATTTTCTTGTTGAAAAAACTCGTTTCCTTTTAAGCGCCATTCAGTTGATTGCTGATAGTCTTTCCGAGTTGGTTGTGTTTTGAGTGACTCAACATGCATGTCGAACGAAGGATGCTTCACAGAAGCAAAAAGATCAACGTATTCAGCTGTCGCTGACTCTTTCTTCCACAAATTGTCCATTCGCGATGACTTCTGTTTAAAAAAAAAAGATTTAAAATTCATTTTTGCTTCCAACAGTAATGTAAATTTCTGTATTGCGACATAACAATGGTCTTATAAACTTCAATCGACATACCAATTTTCACGAATTCCCTTTTGAAATGTAATCAAATACTAATACAGCGACCAATTGGATTATTTCGAATTTTCGGAACGAATTAAATTTAACGTCAATCTAGCAATTGGAATTGATATTGCCTAAAATTTGAGCTCTCTCTTTTTGATTGCAAATCAATTGTTTTGCACAGTGTATTTGTGCAAACGTCAAAAGTATTCACAATGTATTGTACGTCAACTCAAACCAATACGCACGCATCGCATCAATTTGCTTAGAATACCCCTTTGGTGGCGAGTTCTGTGTGTGTTTTTGTATTTGTGAAACATCAATTATGCTCTAACGGCCCATATGCCATCTCTGTCACTCTTCTACACCTTCTAACGATTGAACGAGAACCGATTACTTTTCAATACTTACAAGAGGCCATCTCTCGAGAGGGAAAACAAGACCGCAGAGCTTCGCTTCGCTTCGCTCCGCTCTGCGTTCTTGATTTTTTAGTTATTTAATCTATTTTGTTGTTTCACAACAAACTATTTTTTGGCGTACTACATGAAATGTATTTCATCAAAGTAACTTTGAAGTAATATATTTATTTGCAAAATGAATTACAAGATCTTGGTTTTATTTCTTTTTTGAAATATACTGCCTTTGGTTTAAATTAAATAAATAATATGAGCATAGAATCGAAAGTCACTTTAATTCTGTTCAAGACCCAGAAAATACTGTACGAAAAATTAATGTAATTTTTAAAAAACATTTGATAATAAAAATTTGATTGGCGCTTTGAGATGTTGTGCACTTATTTGTCGTTAGTGCACCTGTTTTAAATTAAATAAAAAAATATGAGCATAAAATTCAAATTCACCATAAGTTGTTTCATCACTCAAAAAGTATTAAGAAAAAAAAAGCAGATTAGTAGCTCTATATTTCATGCAGTGCTAAAAATGCGAATAAAATTGAAGATTGGTTTACTTTCTTTTGAGATATTTTATTTTTAAAAAAACATTAATTTTATTATAATTCAAAGAAGATCCTTTCAAAAGATTTCTTTTCGGACTGATTCGATTGATATTTATTTGTGCATTGAACATTGTATTTTCTTTTTTCGATGCGTATGAAAATATTCATGCGACAGAAGCAACCATGTTGATTTTTGATCACGTATTTGTAGCATGGATCTGACATAATCAGCTTTCAATCGATTGGTGCATGCGTTGGCTCGCATTTTTCGCATTTGCCATCGAAGCCCCGACGAGATTTCAATTCTAATTTTCGTTCATTTGACAGCATTCCATCGAGTTCCTTCGAGTAATTGATGAAAAGCTGTTCACTCTGTCTGATTTCTGATTGGTCGTCCTGTCACACTGAATAGATTGCTTTTTTAAGAATTATTACCAGGAAATTTAATTATTCAAACAGCATATCAGAGTTAAAGCTACAAAATTGTAAAGAGTTTTTTCTCTTCCCTATAAGAGGCATTTGCTGAGTTCTTTTCATTCGCTTATTGATTGGTCAAGTGTTATCACACCAGATTAATTTTGATCTGTGTGTCTATTGTGGCACTGTTTGGTTTCCTTTGGTGAGTTTTAGTTTAATCTTAATATAATATAGCGATAAATCCAATTTAAAAAAAAATGAAAAATCGAGAAAATGAAACTTCAAGGCACATAAAGTCACAGCTCACAGCTCACAGCAATATATTCATTCAAACTTGTTACAGTGTCGCGAGCGACATTTTTCGGATATTTTGTGACCTTGAATGGATTTTTTCTTTGGTCTGTAATTTCTTTTTCTTCCCGGATTTCCGGGGAGCGGTATTTGAATTTTGCGGAGGTGTCGAAATTTGATTTCTAATTGTTTTGTGTCATTTTTGTATTTACAGTTGGGAAATTTAGTACGAATTGCAACACAACATGGCAGCGAATTCGAATTCCCAATACGTGAATCTGGATAGAGTGAGTACTAATCGATCAACAACACGATAATTACGTGCAATGTCAAATGTGCATTTACTAAATTTGTTTGTTACTATTTTTTTCAGATATGGACGATTCTAAAGGGAGGCATCACACAGATTTACAAGCAAGAGCTAACAACGCAGCAGTACATGGATTTATGGTCGTAAGTTGCAACCCCACATTCATCACATCTGAACATGTGCTAGATAACACGTGCATTCCGTATTTTGTTTGTAGATTGGTTTACAACTACTGCACCACAGAACAGAAGAACAGTAAAAAGTACTTCAACCTGTCTTCAGGCAGAGTCAAAGTTGGACGCTCCGAAATTATTGGTGGAGAACTCTACGAACGCTTAGAGAACTTCTTAGCAAATTATTTAACTGATTTGTTAAAGGTGCGTATGATTTGGGATTGGGACTCGAATGCAATAGCAAAAGACTGAACATTTTTTTTGTGTTTTTGAAACAGAGCGGATCGAATTTGAACAACGAAGAGTTTTGGACATTTTACACCACAAAATGGGTTGAATACCGATTCTTGAGCCGTGTACTGACCGGTGTGTTCGGCTACATCAATCGTACATGGGTTCGTCGTGAATGCGAGGAGGGTAACGAAGATGTCTACGAAGTGTTTCAATTGGCACTGGTCACATGGCGCGAACATTTGTTCAAGCACCTCAACAAACAAGTTGAGCCATACTTAAACTGATCGAACGTGAACGCAATGGCGAAACGATCGATTCACGGCTCATTTCGGATGTTATATCTTGCTATATGGAATCGGGTGTTGACAAAGAGGTGCCAAATTTAGTCCGTCCAAATTTGTCCGTCTACAAAGAAAGCTTTGAAAATGTTTTTCTACAAGACACCGAACGCTTCTACATCGCCGAAAGTGGTGCTTCCTTTGAAAAGTTCTACACCGAGCAACATTCATTCGTCAAGTACATGGAATATGTGAAGAAGCGTATTGACGAGGAAATGAAAGACCGTGGTAAGCTACTCCACGTCACAACCATAGAGCCTTTGATGGCAATTCTCAGCGATACATTGATCAGAAAGCACTTGGAGCTATTTGATATCGAATTTCGGGTAAGTTCACAAACATTTGCAAGTGAATTTGCATTTTGTTTAGAAAAAAATTGCTTTTGTCCAATTGAAAACAGGCAATGTTGGCGAATGAAAAGTACGGGGACATGGGTTTGATGTGTTCATTAGCCGTTAAGGCAGATGTTGTATTGAAACGATTGAATGCTATCTTAGAAGAGTGTATTACCAAAGACGGTCTAGATAAACTGGAGAAATGTGCCGATGAAGCCGTGAAAGTGAGTTAATTTTGAGTAATTCAACGTGGCTTTAAACATTAACAACGTTTGTTCTCTTTTCCCAACAGGATCCCAAATTGTACATTGAAACCATATTGTCGGTTCACAAAAAGTATCAGACTCTCGTACGAGATCGGTTTAAAAATGAGATTAGCTTCGTGGCCGCATTTGACAAAGCCTGTAGCAAATTCATCAATGAAAATTCTGTGATCACGAAAAGCAAGAACCCCAATAAAAGTCCGGAATTATTGGCGGCTTACTGCCATATTTTGTTAAAGAAATCGAATAAGAGTCTCGGAGAAGCCGAACTGGAAGAGGTACTCAAATGTGGACTGTGTTCCAATACATCAAGGACAAAGATGTGTTCGAGGTGTTTTACAAGAAAAAATTGGCCGAACGTTTGGTATGAATTGATTTATGCAATTGTCTCCTTTTGTTTCCATCGATATTTGATGAATTTTGTCTCTTCTTAGATCGAGCAATCGTCAACCTCTGATGATGCCGAAGCATCGATGATCTCCAAAATGAAGCATACATGCGGTTACAACTACACACACAAACTACAGCGCATGTACCAGGTGAGAATGGAAAGCAATGACGAAACAAAACTATGGTGTTTTGATTTTAATGCTGGAATTTATTCTTTCGTTATCAGGACATTGCTGTGTCAAAAGACATAAACGAAAAATTCCGTCAACGAATCTCGGCCGAAGAACCACTCGACATTGATTTCCGCATACAAGTTTTGACTCATGGTTCGTGGCCATTCAAACAAAGCGTTACATTATTGCCACCGCCGGAGATGGCCAAAGCAATGGAGCAATTCACCGTTTACTACAAAAGCCAGCATGATGGACGTCAGCTAAAATGGCTGTACGATCGATCAAAGGGTGAATTGCTAATGAATATCGAGAAACAGCGTTACTTCATCAAGGCCAACACATTCCAAATGGCCATTTTGCTGCAGTTCAACGAACAAATATCATTCACCGCACAACAAATCCACAACAACACGGGCATCAACAAGCATTATCTGTACCAGATGCTAGCGCTTTTGGTGACGAAAATGAAACTGTTGCAAAGCGCAGACAAGGCCAACATAACGGACAATTCAGTCATTGCGCTGAATACAAATTATACTGGGTAAATAATGAATAACATTTGCACCATAGAGAAGTGTTAATTTTTTAGTTTTTCACGTCAATTTCAGGCCAAAATTGCGTTTCGACATATCGGGCGTGCGAATGAAATCCGAACAGGAGAGTGATAGTAAAGTCACCCACAACGGCATTGAAGAGGATCGTCGTCATTTGATCGGGGCAGCCATCATTCGGGTCATGAAAATGCGCAAGACACTAAACTTTAGTGACTAAAGCATCAAATCCTTATTGAAGAGGTAATCGGGCAATTGGCCACCAAATTTAAACCGAAGAGGCTAGACGTGAAGGTATCATCCATTGATTTGTTTCCAACTGATTTACCTGTGATTGGTTTTATGCATTTGAAATTTATGCAACTGTTTCAATCCATTTGCAGCGGTGCATTGATGCGTTAATCGAAAAGGAGTCATCTGGAATGTCATTCAACGGAAAAAGATACTTACAATTATTTGGCATAAATTTGAATCCATTTGCCTTCATCACTTTAGGGAATAACAACACATTGAAATCATAGGAACATTCACCTCGCCGCCAAATAGTGCTTCCACCTTCAGTGCGCAGTGCTTGTTCAGCATTCCATAAAACTATTTAATGTGTTTCATAAATCGAATGAACTTCAAAGAAATGAAAAACAAACGCTTACACTTTTGGTCGAAGCATTATTTTCAATTCAAAAATTCATCAATAACTCTGTTGACGAACAGTTCCATGCTTGATTATTTAATTCTAAAAATGAAAAGAAAACCACTTCATAAAATGGATGAATCACACATTGTAATACCAATGCACACACACACACACACACACACACACACACACACACACACACACAC